TCCTTGACCAGATTTTGAAACAAATTGTCATGGACATGCATCCTAACATGTATAAAGTACATGTATGTGCCAAATTTGAATGAAAACTGACAGAGCACGTCCAAGTTACCGCATAAAAAAACAAAAACAAGATGCCTGCCAGTCGACCATCTTTGATCCAATTGCGAAATAAATCGTCATGGACATGTATCCTAACATGTATAATCTATGTACCAAGTTTGAATGACAACTGACAAAGCATGTCCAAAATACAACATTTAAAAAAAACAAGATAGCTGCCAGTCGGCCATTTTGAATCGAATTGCTAAACCACATCATGTGCATATGTGCCACATAAAGTACTAGGCACATGCAAAGAATGAACGGGATCGGTCCAAGGGATTCTGAGATATGACTCCGGACGGACGCACGGACACACGAAGACCGAATTATAAGTCCCCGTTTTCAGACTTCGTCTGAACGGGGACTAATTATAGTGTTCAATAAATCAAATAGACTTCCAACCTTTTCACCACCAGCTACACTTCTCACCCACATTTTTCTGCACTATTTTCTTATGTTCTTCAATATTTCTGGAAATGAACCCTAATTTTGAAGCCAACAGACAAAATTTGCCTAAATTTTGAGTTTTTACTCAAAAAATATGGCTATTTTTGTTCCAATCTTCTGAAGGAAAGTGCAGACTATAAACGAGACTATTTTGAGAATTTGAAAAGAGGGAACTGGTAGTGAAAAGGTTAAACAATAACCTATTAATTTTTTAAGGGAATGAAATTAATCAAATAATTTTTGGTTATCTTGGGATTGTATCGCGGTACTGCACCACAAAGGAAAGTTTATGGAAAGAATCATTACCTTAAAACGAAAAGGCCATAAAGCAATGACCTCAATCAAAAAAAGTTATATGATACATGTATATACCAAATGTAAAAATAACTACAATGTACTTCTTTTATCACTCATTGGTGAGCTGATTCAATATTAGTTTATAGGGAGATGAAAGTAATTATAAATCTGCTATCGAGGATGCACACCTAAGCTACCGCTGGTTATACTTTGTGTCTCAAATAATACTCCAAAAATGGGCATTTATGAAGAACTCAGCAGATACCCATTAGATTTATTCATCAAGAGACAAATGAACAAATATTACAATTAACCATCTGTGGGTTTAGTAAGGTAAAAAACAAATGAAGTCTTTTTTGAAATTATTTTGGAAATAAATTCATGATATTGATGACAACAAGAATAACATCAGCAAAAAAATAAACTAAGAACAGAGGTTTCAAAAAGTTATTCAGACTGGAAAAAAACCTGGTTGCATAAATTCAGAATCAGCAATCACTGTCTCAAAATTGAAAAGGGTAGACATACAAAACCTAAAATGCTGACTGACAAAAGAATTTGTGAGTTGTGTACTGTTATGGAAATTGAAGATTTTGTAGTGTCATGCAAAAAATACAAACAGCAAAGAAATTTACTTTTTGACAACACAGCAAAAGTAGTTAAAAATTTCACTGTTTTGACGAAACAAATTCTTCGCAATCAGATAGGAGATTTCTTAAAGCGAGGGAGTTGTCACCTGCGCATGAGTCAGATAGCTATAGGGTGTCACTGTTTACAAACAAGCATCTACCTATGAGTCTTTGCGCTTTTAGCATGTGTTGTTATCGTCGCTTGGGCTTGGTGACGGCCCTCCCGCTTTAATATCATGTTAGCAAAGTACATAGACAAATGTTTAGTATGAGAGATGAACTTCCAATTTATTTTTCTGTTTCACACATAGAATACAATTTCTCTGTTAGTTTACGAGTCTGACTAGAAAAAGCCATGAGTATTCCAAACGATAGTACATCAATAATTTAGGTAGATTAAGTGTACCCAGGACACAAGCACATAGAATTAACACATCAAGTAATGTTTGTATACATAGTATACAATGGGCCATTCAAAGGCTGGGATCTGAATCTACAAAAAATAGGCCAAGTGGGATCTGAATCTGGGACCTGAATCCAAATGCAGGAATGTGAAAAAAGATGCTTTAGTCTGAATACAAGGCTGGGATGTAAACATGAGACGAGGATATCAGAATCTGTGGTTGGGATCTTGATTCGAGGCTGGGATGTGAATCTGGATCCAGAGGATATGTGAATCAGTGACTTTAATTTGAATCTGATCCCCGGGATCTGATCACATTCCCGCTAAGATGAGAGCGGAAATACACAGTGCATGCATGTGCAGCCAACCACACTGTGAGACATCTATACACCTTATATAACTCCAACACAAAAAAATCACCAGAAGATTTGCTTACGCTTGTTTAAAAGTCATACATGTATCCATATTCAAGGTATGTCCAGATATTCCTGGTTTTTAAATGTTAAATCGCATCTGTTAGAGGTTTCACAAATCAAATTCTCCGCTTAGCATGAAGATGTCAATTAAATAAGGATACTTAACGTGCTGAGGTTTTTGTCAGTGATGGGAATGGCGAAACATTTTTTGTAGTTTTATGTTGTTTGACCAGTAATGTAGTTTGAAAAGACAATTTACGTATGACTCGATTCACATCGAACTTATCTGGACATCGTGAAACTATAGAACTCAAGACGAACTGTAGACGACGTTTTTACTTAAGCATAGGGAGTTCAGCAAAATCCAAGATGGCCGCTTTGTGTTGACAACAAAAAGTGTACTTGCAGCTTTAGCCAGAGGTTCGTTTGAGGATATTTATGCAATTAACAATAGTTTTTTTTAAGTAATCCATGCCTTTTGTGACAAGTGTCTTCTCAGATATAGTGAAATATGTCCCTTATTTACACCGTCGAAATTGTAGTGTAGAACACAGATGTAAAATCTTGATCATCAAGCCCGAGTGTAATGAACTCAAAGCTGGTCAATAATTGTCGTTTTGTTTTACATACTTGATTTCCGGCTTTGAGCTTGTGTCATTCATTCATTCTTCACAGTAGTACTGTGGCATATGTGCGTTTGTTTGAATTATTTGATGAGGTCATTCAGTAGAATCCTATTCCAGCCTCAACGTTTTTACCATGGTATTTTATAGTACTGTATACTTTTCCCTGGGGTTGGAATTTATTCTCACTGAAGGGAAAATAAAATTCAGTGTAAAGTCTAAAGTATTGGTGCAGCATGTTAGCTAACTTTCTCAATATTCGCCAACCACTTTCGTTTTGACCTACAAGTCGAATATTGCCCTGGGCCTTTATTCTGTCACCATCAAATGCTAGTAATTTCTTAAAAACAAAAAAGTATTTTGAATAAGTTTATGAAGTTTTACAGAACTGAAAATCATGACAAATTTTGTTTGCTAACTTACTGCCCCAATAATTCTGAGACTTGGTGTAACTCAAATTAAATTTTAGCTATTTTTCTGCTATTTATTTTCGCATTCATAAAGTATAAACGAACAGCATAATCAATAACATCTGCTATGATTCCAAGTTCTTACTAAATAAAAGTAACTGATGTAATCGTTAAACTTTAGTTTGGTATATGAAATATATTAAATGGACAACATGCGTAGACTATATATAGAATACCAAAGAATACTTTTTAATTAAGAAAGAATATGTGGCACAATATGCAATAACTATTTCAATATGCAAGACCCCTCGATCAGTGGTACGACTTGTTTTCAGTTCTTGTATATCTCTGTGCCACTCACACTGGAAATCATATGATTAAAGTTTCATGAAAACACAAAGAACCCTCTTAAGGGTTTGAGCATGACAGTTTTTTTTTTTTCATTTTTGTAGCCTTTTTCATAGTATGGTCATCAAATATAATGATTTATGATTTTTATAATGCATCACATATTATTCTGGAAATTCTGTAGTGATTTATTTTGTTCTACAGGAATACATGTAGCTCTTCCACAATGGCTGATGAAGATTTACTACCAAGTGTTCGGCAACTGATCAGCAAGATAGAACCGACTATCAGATCAGCCAGTTCTGTTGATGAAGCAGAGGAAATGCTTCTGCATCTTGAAGAAACTGATGAGAATTTTCACAGGTAAATTTCTTTGATCTCATAAATCACTCTGAATATCTGTATTACCCTGAAATGCTACAATATATCATGGGGGTTTGCCTCAGCAAACATGGCTCAAAATCATACATTTTGACTATTCAGAACCAATGCTACACATGTTGAATATAATGAAATTTTGATGCAATTAATTTTATTTTTGATTGGGTTCAACATGGCTGACTGTTGTCATTTCCTAATCCATATATTCAACATATACATGTATGCCTGGACCGATCAAGTTCAACTTCACATCAGACATTATATCAGACAAGTGCTGCATTTTTGTCATCATCAAATCCAAAATGTCTGACTAACAGGGACTATGTCATTAATAATTATGCAAAATAATGCTTAAAGCTACAAATTTACTTTTGGTCATTTTGGTTTCAAGACAGGTTACATGTACCGGTATATCATTCAACCATACCATGGTTTACTTATGCACATATCATAATTGCTATATACATGTAACTGACTTTATGAAAAAATAATATACCGGGTAGTGTCAATAATTATAATCTGTATATCTACACAAAACCAAAGGCTGGAAATGTGGCTGAGTTTATCTTTATGTGCCTTCATTCATGCATATAACTTTAATGTTGGCATTGCAGGTATGAGTTCATCAAATATTTACGTAATAAGATTGATACTGCATTGAGTTCTCTCATTGATGAGGAAATTGAAAAAAAGATGGTTGGAGGCCGAGGCAAAGGAAAGGAAGCAGAAAAGATACAAAGTGTGACGGAAGCTGTTGTTGAATCTCCTGTGTGAGTAAATGAAATACAGTTAATAGTTACAACACAGTTAAAAGCAATTCTACTTGTATATTACAGCTTTTTTGAATTACATTGTTCTGCCCAGCCCAAACTCAGTTAATAGGTTCTATCCTGTGTTGGAATTTAACTTTTGTCACTTTTCACAAAATAAAATCTTCAAAAGAAAACATTTTTTAAGTTTAATCTGGACCTGCAGGCAATTGGAATTATATTCATTTGCTCAAAGGGCTAATGTTCAGCTTTTCTTGTTGCTTGTTTTCCTGGGAGACTGCGTTTCTTTCACATAAATAAATACTACCGGTAGTTCTTATCAGACGATATGCATTTGACTGGCCGTCTGTGTATGCATGTTTTCGTCCGTCCATCTGATGTCACTTCTCGAAGATATCTGAACTGATTTTGTTCAAAGACAAGTCATAATGGCACATGCATGCACTTGATTTGTTTTTTTGTTCTTTCAACCAACTGGCATCTATTGTTGTTCCAAAAAACATTTTTTCTCTGAGGTACCCTTGTATGCCTTTTTTATTCAAACTTTGTATTAATACCACCCATGGTGCATGACTGATACATGTCATTTTGTTTTGCAATTTTATTCATATTTTTCATAATAACCAATTTGATACATAATATACCCGGTACTGGTATTCATTAACTCATCATTCATTGCTTAGATATGCTGAGTTAACACAGACCTTGAAACAAACAACCAAAGATGCCATTGATCGACTTTTGGAAACCTTTGAAGAAGATGTTGCCAAGGAACGCAAGATTCTTGAAGGAAGAGTTAGTCCTAAAAAGACAGGTTTTCCATTCAGTGATGATAGCTCATTTGATTCTTCCTTTAACCAGGTTAGTCATTTCAGTTTATATGCACAGGGACTGATGGATTAATATATAATTAGTCCAAATAATTACAGGTAAACTGCAAATGGTCTGTCTGTGCATATTTTCGTGTGTGTGATCAATTCAAGCTTCCCACATACTAACATATTATATCATACTTAAACACATGCATTGTTTCATGATTCAATTCAAGATGGCTGAATTTTAGTGCTAAAATCATCAAAATCAAGCATTTTCTGTTCAGTTACAAAAACTCACAAATAAAATTGTCCCAGTTTGTTTCATGTCTGTCATATGAGTAGCAATCATAATAAATAGTAAAGACATGAATGTCTTGTATTGGCTACAACCAACAACAGTCATACTATGATTACATCTTGTACACTATCATACTAACTACACCAAATTCAATTGACACATTTAAATAGGTCATTGCTTTCTTTCACAATTACAGTTGTTTCTTTCATAAATCAACCCTTTCCTTTTTTTTTTTTTGGATTGTCTTTGAAAAAATACCAACTGAGACTGTAATATTTCTTAACTTGTTTATCAAACATTAATGATTGTTTATTAACTGATTATCTGAAAGTTAAGCAGTTTATCTGAATCAACTGTTTTCATGTCTACGCCCAGCGTCAACACAGATTAGTTTTCTCATACTATCAATTTATACTTGGTACCTAACAACTCATGGTGTTCTATTTTTTTTAGGGTTCTAGATGTACATGTATATTAATATTCTTCACACCCACTATGTATAATGATGCTATTGTTTTCTTTGCATTGTAGGCTAATTTTTCTTTTCCAAATGCAGAAAAATTTCAAATGCTTGCAAATAATCTTGAGTCCTGCCAACCTCTTGAGGTAAGTAAACTTTCTTTCTTTGAAACTGTCACTGGGCGTAATTTATATATATATAAAACAACAGCCTTGTTATGATTGTAACAAGAGAAACAAAAATATAATAGAAATTAAGAAAACTGAGTTTAGACGAGTCACCTTCTTTATTTTGTAAATTTTGTTTTGTTGGGATTATAAGCATGGTACAGACATTAATTTGCCAAGAAAAATGGAAACATAGTGTTCAAAACATTTACAGAACACTACTACAACTGTTTCAAATTTATCCCTTTGAGTGCCAAAAATAGATTAACATTTTCTGTAATTTTCACTGAATTTAATCTTAATTTTGGGACCAAACAAACAAAATGTTACATTATTACAACTTTTTGATCAAAAGATTTGAAAATTTTGCACTAATTTATTTAAAAAAAGAGCAGACTACTAATATAAATAGAACTATTTTGTAGATGATGCCTGAAGTTGAAGGGTTAATGTGAATTTTAAATGTTCTAGGTAAGAAGAGATGCTCTAAAACAGTTATGTCAGTTTCCTCCTGCTGATGTGTTGGCCTGTGATCAGTGGGGTAAACTAAAGAAAGGTTTAGGAGCAGCACTATCAGACAGTGATGAACAGTTAGAAGTAAGTAGTATATTCGAAGAATATTTCACAATAGTAACCTTTGTGGGATGCATTTTTTGACTGTCTGGAATATACTAATACATGTATACTGATTTAATATACTTATTTGTGTATATTTTTTACAGGACAGAAGTTTGAAATTCCATGCTAAAATGTTCTCAACCAATTCGCATACTATCACAAAAGAAGTCTACACAAGTCTTGGTAAGACAATATATTGCATGTCATTTTGAACTTTGTTTGGTTCCTTGATGTCAAAATGTTGACTGATTTAGACTTTTCGGCTAATTTACTGTACTTACATTTTTTTTTAAATGCTTGTATGTAGAATTTTAAACAATCTAGCATACAGTATACTTTTTAATTCATGTTTGCACACCTTCACTCTGTATTTGTAGATTTACTGTTTCTCTTTCTATGTTTCAGTTGATCATCTAGCCACGTTGTTCCAATCACGTAAAAGTAAGGCATCTATAACGACTAGTGAAGGGCTGAATACAAGTGAGCAAAATGTGCAAAGAGTGCTCAGAAAGGTAAGCAGAGATGACTGATAATTTAGGCACACTGAAACAAAAATAAGTATATTTATGTCAAGTTGATACATTCCATGCTAGCCGTAGTAAGCATTTCTGCTCATACAAATGTACATGCATAGGTATTAGAGGCTTACTTCTAAGAACAAATGTACAGTGTTTATCTTTAGGCAGCAATTATATTGTACCAAGTTTTACCACATGAAGTGCAATGGTGTGCCTTAGAATGAAATTCAAGGCTTGAATCTTGGCTTTTAAACCCAGTGTTAAGGCCAAAACTTTCAAAATTGCCTCAGACTGACTGTAATTCTGACGAAAATAGTTGACTACCGGTATTATGAAAGGCTATTCCTTGTTAAGATGAAGTATGGTGGAAGTGAACACCAAATTAAATTTCATCTTCATACTGATTTCTTCCAGTTTCGACTAATGAATGAATTTCAGCGACAAGCACCGTCCTATTGGATTAGATTTCCTGAGAAGTAAGTCTAATATTACAATGATTAAAGTTGTACTCTGTGGCTTGCAATAATTTGGAACAGAAACAACATTTTGTGAATCTATCTACATTGTTACTATATTCAAAAGTGTTAAAAAAAAAAATTTGAACACACAATCAAATGAAAAGCTAAAATGTTCAGACGTGATAAAAATTTTACGTTTTCCCACAATTTGTGCTCTATGAATGCTCTCAGAGGGCAACTTTAATAACTTAGTGTTTGACTTGACCTACCTGTGTGTTATGAGGAGAAAATGCTGAAATGTGTTTGCAGTATACTGTAATCTTCTATCTGTATCTCGCTTATCCCTGATGATAACAAACATTTGATCTTCATATTTAAACTGCCATTGTTTTCATTCAAACATCCATAATGTTTTCTAGTGCAAGCCATACACATAACATAATGATCACCAATTTGGTATTATCTTATATAACAATATGCATACATTGTATACAGGATCATTATAATATGAGGTTATTACGAGGATACCTCAAAGTATACACAAAGACAGTACAGCGAGAGTGTACAGTGTATGGTCTGAGTGTAATATGTCTTATTTTGACCATAGATATATGTTATTTATATGTATGATAAAATCAACATATCTCTTGAAAAATACCAGTATTGTAGTTGTGAAAATATATTGATTGTTTTTGTCTGTTTCCAGATTTGTAGATGATGTACTGGAGAGTACCTTGTCTCTTCTTGCTATTCATACAGCTAGTGAGACCATGACACCATTGCATTATTTGTCATTATTGGATCCACAGGCAATGTGGTTTAAAATGTGGATGGTAAGTCATGCTCACATTACAATTTATTCTGACCATAGAGTTTTATGGAAGTGCATGTGCTACTAATAGAGCAAATACAGTAGTCCTATTCGAAAACAAGCTTCTTCAATGAAAATAGTTTTTCCACATTTTCAATCAAAATTACCACACTCAAAACTTGAAATAATTTTAATGATTGTTTTCATTGATTTCTAGCATTCAAATTATAGCAGAACAGCTGTTATTAGAATCATAAAAAAGCATAGAAACCTGGTGAGTATATTAGTCACTATATTATACATGTACTTACATGGTATATGAGATTTCACTCTCAATTAATTGGTTCTGAGCTCTCATTCTATCTTGAATACTAAAATGGGGTTACTTTGACTGACTCAGTGAGAAGGCAAATGAATGCCTGTGGATGAAATTCATTTACTTATGGATATGACCTGGTTGATGGCGGGATAGTGCATTAAATTGTCACACAGCCTTGTGCCCCAAACAAAAATATGGTTTATGTGGCAAAATACACATTTACCATCAGCTCATGCACATGCAATACAAACAAAATTAGAAGTGACAAGCCTGACATTTCATTGTTTTAAGATGTTAGAATCAAATTTCCCATCAACATTTTTACCATTTTATCCAATAACACTCACACATCCCCCCTCAGGGGATGGAAATGGTTCCGACAACTAAAGAAATATGCAAACAAGAAGAAAAAAAACAAGACAGAGACACCAAGACAAACACTCTCACAAATTCAAATAATTTCAAAATGCCAATGCTGGATAATAAAAATTAAATTTCTGAAACTATTCTGTTTATAATAAAATAATGTTTATCAGGTCACATTAGGAATTCCCCTATACCACATGTCAGTACACAAGTCATTGTTTTCACGCTATAATCTATTTGTTTGATTTGTTTAATATTCACTTATTTAATTTTTTCAGATTGACACTTGTGTGAAGTTTTTAATGGACTTTGTATCATCCAGAAAGATGCCTCAAGATATTGTCAGTGATGTCACTGAAAAGTTGAAAAAAGGAAAAATTGGTAAGAAGTAATTATTTAGTTGTCTATCGGTATGTCAGTGTCATGTCAAATTATATTGTTTAGTAAAAGTATATTATTCTGTGAATTTTACAGTTAATACAACTATTCACCCCTGCAGTGTCGAACATGGTTTTGGTGGCCTTAGCCTTGGAGATTTTTAATGACCATTGCTTTGATTAAATGGACATTGCCATATGAACATTCTTACTGTTCTGGCATTGCATATTTTAAAAACAGAACAATAACTTTGATAACTTTAACAGATAAGTCTAATTTATTCTGTGTTGGAATTCACATATAAACATATTAACACAACTCAAATGTTATAATTTTAATATTCTGCATTATAGGTGAAGACCGAAGAATACTCTTCACTGCACGAGAAGTAGAATATGTGTATTTTGTACATTGTTTGGGAATAGTTGGAGTTGTATTATTGTATCATAATGGCAGAGACTTGTTCCCTGTTAAACATAGAGACAAAGAAGGTACGTGCATTCATAGATAGTGTCATGATAAGACCTGGCCCAGATTAGAAAAGTACATAATGACTGCTGGAGGGGCAAAATCTTATGCATGTTTCATAGTGCCTTGAACAGTTTAAAATATGCAATCAATAAAGTAAATACATCTCTAAATCATGTTGTGTTTTGATTTCAGTTGCTGTCACCGATTTATTGGTAGCATTGATACAGCTTCTATCTGATGGAGGGTCACAACACATGTTAAAAAGAGCTGGTAAGAATATCTTTAAAACTTAGTTAAGTCTAGTATTCTCAATATTAATGCAAACTATGTGTGAATTAGTACAGTGTATTTGTCATTCTTCCAAGTCAGTAAACCTATTTATAGATTTACCATAAGAACGAGACACGAAACTCAGTGAAGCTTGTTGAAAACTTTGTGTTGGATGAAAACAGCTGCAAGGGTAACAACCTCAGAAGGGAAAATTCTTATTACTGTAAAATCTGTATTAAAAGCTGCGGCTTCTATTAAAATGGCACAATGCAACAGAGGGGATGCGGCTTCTATTAGAGCATCTACACATATGAAAAATGGTGAATTTTTGGTTCTCAATTGTTCAAAAAGAATAGGTGCGGCTTCTATTAGGGATGCAGCTTCTAATACAGATTTTACGGTACTACTGCTGGTGATGTGATTCAAACCTACAATAAATTTCTTTGCTTTTTAGTCCAGAACCCTTGTCCACTCGGCCACCAAACCAGGTTACTTGCTCTTCTGCACTTCACAAGTCTTTTGGAGGGTAGAAAAGTGGATTATGTCTATCTGTTACCTTAGCTTTAAATGAAGTCCATTTTTTCTAATGTGTACATAATCAAATATTTCCAGCTGTGTTTGATCCTGGTAACCTTGTTCGTGATGTCCTAAAGAACTTGTCAGCATCCCATGCAGTTTGTTCGGCTTGCATTTGTAAAAATAAAGTGATCACAGAGCTGATAAGTCCAATCAAATCATGGCTACCAGGGAAGAAGGTAATTTCAAGTACAAAATTTTCATTTGACTATATTAGTTGGATGTCATAGGTGACTGGATGGCACTTACTTGGAATTACAAGCTGTGACAGGCGGATTGACTTTGTTATTACTGTACAGGGCTTGACCATTAACTGGGTTTTATTTTTCATTATTTTGACAATGAATGTAATGCATGTTTTTAAAATGTTGTGAATATCTCTGAAACATCAAATCTGCCCAAATTAAACCTGGTGAATATTTCTCTTGGTTTCAATCTGCTTTGAACACTGTCACTGAGTTACTTTTCCAGGGATGTTCATTCTTTAATTTGTAGTATGCATAGACATGTACTTCTTATTTTAATACAGCATACCTGGGTAAAAAGGAACAAAACACAAATGATAAATGAATTGTAGAATGATCAATATCCAGCTATATTCTCGCTAATATTGCAGTGTTGATAACAGTACACTTTGCTTCACTCTATCTGTTCACAGAATAAAGCACCATCCAAGTTACCCAAGGAGTCTACATTACTGCACATAGCTGAGATACTGTCTGTATTGGCATCCCTACAGTGTGGTAGACAGATACTACTGTATGGTGAATCAAAAGAAAGATTACAAACCAATAAGTAAGTCTTCTCATTAATCCAGTTTGTGCCACTTTTTCCAAGAATACTCTCCTAGTATATTCGATACATGTATGTATTCCTGTATTTTAGGTTCATAGCCAGGTGAAGTGCATGATGGGTGGAACATATCTCTGGTTTGTGTGTTCATTCCTGCCATTTGTCTTTTATAGGCAATATTCAAATTGAAATTGTAAACTGTGCTGATGTTTCCATCCAATATGGCTGACTGACTGCGATTTTTCCACTGAATGTACCAAAAAACATGTTTAAGTGAATGAGACTTGCACATAACATGCATTCATATTTTTTCTAGATCAGCTCCCATGCATTCCATAGTGGAATTTGCTAAGAAGTCTTTAAGTCATTCTCTGTCAACAAGCCTGGGCCCACCACCATCAAGAGCAGTGGTTGGTGCATATGTATTTGTATGTAGACAGTTGTACAGTAACTGTGAAGGTTTACATGTGCTTTATCACTATGGCTTACACACCTATATCGCTGATGCTTGGAAAGAGGTATGTAGCAGCAGCTGTGATATAAACAGAAAAATTGTTTCCATAAAACGTATTTGTTTATTGACACGTGAGTTGTATCCTACTTTTTTTGATGTTATTTGTCGTCATGTGTAGCAGTATTAATTTGAACCAGTTTACTGGTACGATATATCGAAATTCACATGTCTCATGTAAATACTCATTGAATTCAGACAGCACATAATGCAAGACATTCAATGAATAAAATTAACCCAGGCATTTCTGAAAAACATTGAACCATATCGGTTAAACCATGTCTGGGAAATTATGACTCCAAACTGTTCCACTGACATTACTTGAAACCCTATAGTTTTTCAGATTTTGACCAAGCAGGGATTAAGAAAGTTTTCCTGTAGCATGCAATGTACAGGACCCAAATCTACACAGTAGTTTCACATAAGTCTTTCTTACAAGTAATATCTATTCTAATGATATATGCATAATGTTAACCAGGCACCTGCGCTGTTAGGACAGCAGTAGTGCATATTTCCCTGCAACACTATTTATTGATTGGTAAAATTGATTTCCAATGTGTATCACCAGCACCACATAATGTGCAACATGTAAATTCTGTGAAATACATGTATCAGCATATACCATATCTTGACTGGCTGCGGACATCTTTGTGGATATAATAGAATAACTAGCTAGTATCTTGAAAATCACTTTGCCAATCAATAAACAAGTGAATTTGTAATAGATGTCTCAGTCTCACATGTGCCGAGTGTTATTCAGTGTGTACACTGATGCATATTAAAAAACACCAGATGGGAAAATGTGAGTAATATTTAATGTATTAATCAACAATCTTACTTGTATTGTTATGTAATGTTATTGTAGGCAAAAGAAGAATGTGAGAGAGCACCAACACCAACCCCCGATACTGAAGGTGACACAACTTCACAGAGTGGTAACAAACAAGAGTGTGTTGATGCATTTGCATGGGAGCAGATGCTAGTGGATAATTTATTAAATTTTGCAGGTACACCTAAGGTAAGTTGTACATGCACCCCACATACACTGTATATTACTGTGAACAAAAAAACAACCAAACTGCAGTATTGCAATATAGCTCACTG